ACAAATACAAATTAAGAGGTTTAACTTAGTCATTCTAACATAAGGCAACATGCCCAGGCTAATTCCCCCAACTCTGTGTTTACTTTAAAAAAAAAAAAAAAAAAAAGACAAAAAGACTCAACCGAGTCATATGTTCTACAGTTAAAAATTAAAGCATTTTGCTGACCCGGCATGAGAGCTAATGGACAGTATTAAGCAAGATTCAGTTTCACAACCCTCCCACCCACCCAAGTATAACTAACATGCTAGTTAAAAAACAACACCCCTTACCCACCCACCCTCACCTGCATCGATTTTAGGAGAAATGGGGAAAAAAGAAAGGAATCTTACCACCCTAAAAGCAAGAAAATCCCAGAAATGTGAAAAATCTTCCTCTGAAGAAGACAACTACACAGACGGCTAGAAACACAAAGAACTTACAGAGTTACAGAGCTGGTTATTTAAAGAAAGTAAACACTTCGCTACACACATCAACATTCAGTCAGTGTGCTCTGAGATAAGAGTCTTCAGAAAAATACTACCTGAGCTTGTAAGTTAATACAATCATTAAAAGGAGGTCTACGACCATGTGGATACACAAAACTTTTAGAACCATTATTGGTTAAATGATGATGGAAAACATCCCACCAGGCTGGCTTGTTAACCCGTAAGATCAGTTTTAAAAATAGACATCATTGAGGTATTTCTTCACCATGACATTTATAAGCCCCTCATGATAATGACAGTGGTCTTAGGACCCTCCTCCTCTCTTCCAACCAACCAAAAATTAGGGCAGAAGAGAGGTGGGAAGGTCAATACAGTATATCCTGGTAATGTGCTTCTCAACTTTATCAAGTATTTAATAAACAAGGGAAAAAAAAAAAAAACCCGTCAACATGTTACCTTTGGTAGAAAAAAAATCAAAACACAAAACAAAAGAGCAATACATACTTCAACAGTCACTGCTCAGTGAAAACAGTGATTGCTCCAACATCATGGTGATGAATGTCCTGCTGGGTCCAGAGAGCTACAAATACAATCATGAAGTCAAGAGGATTCTCATTCCCTTCAAATATTTGATGTTTCCAAGAACTAGACCTTTAGAATTGCTCTTAAAGGGTATTATTTGCAGACATTTGAAATACAGATAAAATATTTTTCTCTTGAAGAGAAAGAGACCTAAAGGTCTTTATTTGTAGTTAAGTCCTCCAATAGGCCAGATTAACCAGTAGTTTCATAATACTGAACAATAGTTACGGTATGCATAATTCTTTTGGAGGGGGAAAAGCCAGATTGCGAAGAACTACTTGGATTTATGACTACATTTTGCCTGACATTTCTCTTTCAAGGTAAATAAAACATTTCTCCTGGGAGAAATCAGTTGTAGATTTATGGTAACATTTCTTTTAGAGGTAGCTTCCCACTCCCACCCACTCCCCACTGGATTAATACTATTCTTTTTGAGACCTGTCAGATGCTAACATGAGGTAGATGACTTGCCACAAGTGAGGTAGAAACTCAACAAAAGCAGTCAGTGTGGTCTGGAATGCTGTGTCCTATGCCCTTGGCCCTACAGAATGCCAGAGAAAGCCGTAGAGCTCTGGAGGCCTGGCCCTGTGACACCATCACCTACGAGTACAAGAGTGTGACTTTTATACAGCCCCAGACTGTTGAAAACTCATTCAGAGTGATGTTTTAAATATACCTTAAATATACCCTAAATACTTTTTGGCACCACTGGATTAAAAAATAAAATAAAATCAGAAAAACAAGCCTAAAACTTTGGCATATCTTTCACCACCTACCAGAACAGAGCAATCTTAGAATCTTCCAATGAGGAAGGCAACATATATATAAACAGTATTTTGCTGCTTCAAGCCTAAGGGACTTTCCTCCTCAAATAATTAAGCTTTGGCTTAACTAGAATAAATCCGACTGAGCCGATCTCAAGCTATTCTCTTGCAACTCCATCACAAAGTGCCTCAATTCTGGCAACATTTTTGGCCCAACACGTAATTTGGATTCGGTTTATGGTACCCTTTGTTACGTGTTTTCCCAAGTAAGTTAGACTTAAAAGGGCATTGAGGAGTTAGTGCACTTGGGGTACAGCCCAGGTCACTGTGCTCTAGTCAACTTGAGTGCCACTTGCAGCCACAACAGGGCACACGTTCTGAGACAGCATTAGATCTCGGGACCAAAAATAGCACTTTTGAAATGTTAAGTGTCAAGCAAAAGTAGTTTTTACCTATGGGTTAGATTTCCTTTAAACACCTCAATACCCAAACCTATATATCCAAACCCAATGGGCATCTCCAAACAGAAACTGAGCTTACATCATCCCCCACCCAACCCTTGCCACCTGACCAGATCAGACCTCCATGGGGACTACTGTCTAATTGTCACATTTACGCCCCAGAAACCTTTTTATTCTCCTACCTCCTAACACCCAGGACCTTATTTTTTCCATCAGGCTGAAGACTCCCTTCTTTGACCCAACTCCTGGCTACCCTGGCATTACCTCATAACGGGCAGGAGATTACGTATTTAAACACAGGTACTTTTCAGTTTCACACTAGGGACTGCCAAATGTTGGCTTTTATCATCTTTCTTTGATTTGAACACTTCACATCATACAATGAACTCTCCAAAGTGCTTCGCACCAATCCCTATGGGTCAGGAGTCAATCGTGGACAGCCAAAAACGGCCAATGTTTTAAAAACAAAAGCTTTCCAAGTGTGACCATGTTTCTCAAATACCAGTCATGCACCATTCTGGATAGAGAACAGTAAGGAGATACACCACCACTGAGGACAAAGGTAGTAGTATCTCTGACCTACACACATACTTCAGGGGATAGTTTCTAGTTGCTCTAAGCCTGCAAATTTTTAAGTCTGTAAATTAAGACCTGATAATAATTTCAGCCATGGAGCGAAAATCTTGGCTTTCGAATCACATTCATAGTAAAATGTCAAATAAGGAGCTCTAGCAACTGTTACGCACCAAGAACATTTCTCATTCAGGTCCCTAAATTCTCCTACATCTGGGGAAATTAGAAAGAAAAGAGTGGAATGAAAATGACTATGAAAGGATTTTAATCAAGATCCATCTCCTCAATAAAATTTTTTTTCAAGCATTTAAAACCAGTTGTCTTTGGTATTTAAAGGGTGGTTTGTTGGGCGGCTGCGGAGAGGGAAGATCAGCACCAAGTTACTCCAAAATAGAAAACAGCAAAAATGTTTAATTATATTAACTCTTTACCAGAAAGAGCTTCATGGCCAAAAGGCAACTGAACAGGCATTGGGGAAGGATTCGCTATTAAATTCTACAGTAAAAGGAGCTTCTAACAAACAAGATTTCTTAACACCTTCCCACCCTGTAACAGCAGCTGGGAGCCAGCAACAGTTTGAAGTTACTTTCCAACTTTTGAATCTTTTATTGCATGCAGTTCTCCTCTGTGAGACGAGGTGTTTTTTTTTTTTTTCCCTTCCCATTTTGGTCACTCAGAAACCCTAAAATTAAAGCAATGGGAAGAGACAGCGTAGCTTGTAGTAGTAGTAAATTAAACGTCCAAAAGAGGTATACGGGAAAAGCAACTTGATTGACTTGTCACATTGTCCCCATCATATCCTTTTCTATTGGGATAATAGAAACAAATTGCTCCATTTGTTAATCTGTTTTGTTCATTTAAAACTATACCCATTTTGCAATAGAAATTTCTCTTAAATAGAGAACAGAAGTTAATCCCTAAGTCTTTATTTTTAAACAAGAGGTCTCCCTTGTAAGTCACTGACGTTTGTTTGCGAGTCCCTCTTTTCCCTGAGGAGGGCTCCTCCAGAATTTGGTTCTTATTTCAGTATTTGGGGCAATGCAGGAACCCACTGGATTCTGACAAGCAGGGTATCAGCTACATCTGCTTTGCACTTGAGAGACAGACAATGCCCAGAAGCACAAGTTTTGTACCCAAGTCCAGCTTACAACCAACCAATCCTGTAAAGTGACACAGATTCTACCCCACAGTTCTGCAGTGGGAGCCTTAAATTTTCATTCTTTGGTACCGAGTTACAGGTTTAAGAAAAGACATTACATCCTACATTTCAGGTTTGGACAATTTGGTTTCTAGATCCTTTATATTCAAAGGCCTTGAGGGGAGGGGAGCGAGGGGATTCATGTTAACCACGAGGTCCTAAAGCATGGCCTGGGTGCAAACAATCCTATAAAAAGTGACCCAAGCAGAGGGTGTGGGACTGGGCTGTTGGTGTATTTTGACTTTCAAACATTGTATTTCCCTGAACTTTCAAAGCAGGAAAAAAATTGTGCTTGTAAAATGGAAGTTCTTTCCTTTGCCTACTCTTCTTAGGAAAAGAAACTCCAAGGACTACAGAACAACTATAGATTGGGGGTGCCTTGTTCTTTAATGTGCTCCCTGACTCCCTCAGCACACACATCCACCCACATTCATGTCCACATCAGCCCATGCCTGAAAACCCTCTCTGAGAACGAGGTTAATTTCCTTCTTCCTTCCATTTAACCCTTTATAACCTAACAGCAAAATAAGAAAGCTTAACTTTTGAGAATACGTTTAATCAAAAATCCTGAGCTACCATCTATATATTTTTTCAAGAAACCAAAGTGTGAAAAGGAGAGCTTCTTTGGGAGGCAGTGTGTCATTTTCAGCTACTTGGGTGCAAGATGGCTTTGAAACAAACACGCACACACCCTCCCTGAAAAGAAATAAAGATTATATACCCTAAAACATGAAGGGTCTGCTTTTCTTGGCTAGCAAGCCACAGCCACAACGTTTAAGATTAAGAAAAGATACAGAAGAGGATGTTAAACACACTGAGGTATGAACGGAGAACAGAGGAAATTTCTCTGTTGCAGCATTTAAAAAAAGAGAAGATTTTCCAAAAGATCAAAACGACACAACATAATCTAACCCCATATAAACACAGTATTCTCAAGAACACACTCTATAATTATGCATTTCAAATCCTATTTTTTCCATGTTTTATAGTTTTTTGTTTTTTTACTTAGTAGTTTTTTTTTGTGTTTCCTTGGCTCAATCTACAGAATACACCCCACCACACACATCCAGTGCCCTCCCAGCCATACGGATGCCAGGCTTGTGCATATCATGCCCCACGCAGGGGAAGAGGGAAATGCAAACTCCACTGAGGAGGGGAAGAGGGCCTGCTGCAGAAGGAAATGTAAAGATTTATGAGGTAGATAGAAATTATCACTTCACAGGCTCAATCCCTGCAGAAAAGATAAGTACATTCATCTGTAAAAAAATAAAGATGAGGTAGGACTTAAGCAATGTTGTACTTTTCTTGTTCTCTTTTAAAAAAAAAAGAAAAAAGAAATTTCCCTGAGACTGTTTCTTCTTTGAAATTCAAAAAGAGAGAGAGAGAAAGAGAGGGAGAGAGACGCACACACACCCCAAACACAGAAACCTAGGAAATGCAATTAGAAGACTAGGATTCGATTGTTGCCAAAGTCCACCACCACGATCATTCCGTCGGGGGTGATGGCGACGCCAGAAGGGCGGTCCATCTGCCCAAAGCCGCTGCCTTGAGCGCCGAACTTGCACAGGAAGCTGCCGTTGGATTCAAACATCTGTACCCGATGGTTCCTGGAATCTGCCACAATGATGCGCCCTTCCTGGTCCACGGCTACGCCTTGTGGGCGCAAGAACTGCCCATTGCCCGTGCCCTCCGAGCCCAGAAAGCGTGCCGACTGGCAGTCAGGGTGAATCACCAGGAGCCGGTGGTTGTTGAAGTCGGTGACCACCAAGTGGCCCTCATGGTTGAAGGCCACACCCCGTGGGGAGTCAAAGTGCTTCCAGAGAGCCCCCTCGAAGCCATACTTATTTAGGAAGATGCCATCAGGCCCAAACAGTTGGATCCGGTGGTTCCTCGTGTCTGAGACCAGGATCTTGCCCTCAGAATTCACCGCCACATCCCAAGGGTAGTTGAACTGCCCATTCTTGGTTCCTTTCTCACCAAACTTGAGGAGGAACTGGCCCTCGAAGGTGAAGATCTGGATGCGATGATTGTCCTTGTCAGCCACCACGATCCTGCGTGAGGTGTCACAGGCCACCCCGGCTGGTCGGTCGAACTGCCCAGGCCGGGAGCCCAGGGTGCCGAATTTGTGATGGAAGGCGCCGCAGGGCTTGAATACCTGGATGCGGTTGTTGCTGCGGTCGGCAACGATGATGTAGCCCTCCTTGTCTACACTCACGCCCCAAGGGCGGCAGAGCTTGCCATCGCTGTCACCCTCGCTGCCGAAGCTCAGGCCCGGGAGCCCAATGCCCACGTAGCTGCGGCCTGACTTGACCACCACCTTGAAAGGGCTGTTCTCAATGTGCTGGTTGCACAGTGTCACAGATACCAGGTGCTCACCCTCCAGCTGGGGCCGGTAACTCACCACGTATGTCCCATTCTGCTGATCGCTCACCTCTGCACCAAACAGGTTGCCATCAGGGCCCAGGACCACAGCTGACATCAGGTCACCTCCTGAGAGACGGGGCTCACCATCGTGGTCATAACCAATGACTGTGAAGGAGGCCACCTTACCCTGGAGGGCGCGCTTGAGGCCATCGCCCGTGGCCTTGGTGAGTGGCGCAAAGGCCCCGCTGCTAACAAAGCCAAAAGACTTGATGGCAAGGTACAGTGCCTGATCAGGGGGTGTGAACATGACTCGGTCATCTTCCTGGGGCTGCAGGAGGCTCCGCACGGTCTTCAGCTCCTGCACCTGGGCCAGCATCCGGTCTCGGGCCAGCAGGATGTCTAGCGCTCTACCCTCCTCCAGGACCTGCTGCACGGCACTGATGGTGCTCTCAAGCTTGTTGAGGTTTTGCCGCAGCTTCTCCACCTGCAGGTACAGAGACTTGGCTTTCACCTGGCGGATCTTTTCTACCTGGAGGGAAAAGCAAGAGTGAAGAAACACACAGAGGCTTAGAGCCAAGCACAGAAAATACCACATAAGCCACAACTAATCACAAGGGAGCATCAGACAAACACATATTGGGGGATGGTCTACAGAAGACATTGGGCTTTCTTCAAAGGCAGCAAAAGCAAAATGGACCAAAAAAACCCTGAAGAACTGTTCTGGGTTACAGAAGATAGTTACTAGAAACAGGACAACTATGCAATCAGTGGCCCTGGACTGGGGGGAATGGCTGGGGCTGGGGCGAATAGAGTGCTGTTGGGACAATTGTGGAACCTTGATTATGGACTGAAGAATAGATGCTAGTACTGTATCAAAATCAAATTTTCTGATTTCTGTAATTGCAATGTGATTGGGGTAAAAGCGCTGTGCTTCCAATACGCCAACTCACTCTCAGATCACAAACATATATACATATACATACATACACACACACACACAAGACGCACACGCACACGCACGCCTCATGCCTATAATCCCGGCACTTTGGGAGGACGAAGCAGGCAGGTCATCTGAGGTCAGGAGTTCGAGACCAGCCTGGCCAACATGGCAAAACCCTGTCTCTACTAAAAATAACAAAAGTTAGCCACGTGTGGTGACGGGCACCTGTAATTCCAGCTACTTGGGAGGCTGATGTGGGGAGAATCCCTTGAACCTGGAAGGTGGAAGTTGCAGTGAGCAGAGATCACGCCATTGCACTCCAACCTGGGCAACAGGGCAAGACTCCATCTCAAAAAACAGTAATAATAATAATTGGAACAAAACGTACATAATCAGTAAATCTGGATAAGGAATATATGGAGTTACTATAATTACTGCAAGTTTTCTGTAAGCTAGAAATTAAAGAAAAATAAAAGTTAAAACAGCCATCTAGAGCTGGGCACAGTGACGTGCACCTGTAGTCCCAGCTACTCGGGAAGCTGAGGTGGAAGAATCACTTGAACCTAGGAGGCTGAGTCTGCAGTGTGCCATGACTGTACTTGTAAATAACCACTGCACTCCAGCCTGCGCAATACAGTAA